GGCACACCAAAACTCTATTTCTTTTCTTAAATCTCTCCCCCTCCCATATTTTTCTCTCTCAATATCTTCTCTCTCTCTCTCTCTCTCTCTTCTCCTAAAAATCAATGTTTTTTAAATATCCCTTCCCCATCTCTCTCGCTCACTTTCCCACCGCCATATTTTTCTCTCCCTCTCTTCTTTTCTTAAATCTCTCTTCCAAAATCAAATATCTTTTTTTCCTTAAAGCTCTCCCCCATAATCAAATCTCTCTCTTTTTTAAAATCTATCAAGCATAGACCAAATCAAAAGCCTGCAGATACATACGACATTGACTCCATAAAGATAAGTAATAGACTCCGTCACTGTTTTCTTCTTTCCTTTCTCTATCCTTCATCCTCTCCAATGGATGATTCAACTTTAGACATGTAAGCCACTACATACAAGTTTAACTCCCATCATCATTGGTTCATGGAACGATATAGGATCAAGTTTTTTTGGTTTTTAGCATTGTTGGAAGTTTAGTGGGTGAAATAGGGGTAGAAAATGGTACAATTTACAAAAATGAAAGCTCAAACTCTTCTTGTTTTCGAGCACGCATGAGTGTTATCTCAAGACAATATTTGTCCATTTTCCATATAGTATTTGATGTGCATAAGAAGGACAATTCATCCTCAGAATACAAGAAAACAAATAGGTCTTTTACAATGTTCCTAAGTTCTATGCACCTGAGCATAGAACCCACACGATAAACAATAGAGTCTTTGATAGTTTAGAGAGAGAAAGAGACAATATTGAGTAGAGAGAGAGTTGAGTTCACAAAAAGATTGCTGGAAATTGTTGAGAATGAGCTATTAAGAGAGATGCAAGGGCTGTAAAAAGCTGTCTCGTGAGGCAAAAGGACCCCAATATAGATCTACAAGGTGACTGCACATTTACCATAGCACTGGTTACATGCACCACTAACAATTATAAGTTACATGCAGCCCCTTAACTCACTTGATAGTTGTTGTTACAACCTCCTTTTACCTCCATTTCATCAACGACCATATGGTCGTTGGGTGACCCATATGGGTTCATCAACAAGCATATGGTCATTGGGTGACCCATATGCATTAATGGCTAGATGACCGTTGGTTATCTCACACGAGGAAAAATTGAGCTAAGAGCCCGACCCATACACGTGTTTGGGAAAAGTGCAAAGTGCGCCAGCAAGTGCCCTTGCGGCCATGCCCTCGTACATGCACACACACGTGAGCATGCATGTTGTACGCTTCGTGTGCTTCGCACATGCATCATCTCTCTCCTTTGTACTTAGAGTATATTCTATGAGAATGCGTGCTCCTAAATACATCTCAATAAACTTTCTCCTGTTCAATGTGGGACCCAAACCCACATCTTTCATCTCAATAAACTTTCTTCTGCTCAATTTAAGACTCAAACCCACATCTTTCTCTCTACAAAACAATTTAGGAAAGAACAATAAAACCATAGTGTTGCTTTGAAATACATATAAGTATTTTTCAAACCAAAAAATACTAACTAAGCATGTCATTATTCTTTTATTATTTGCTTTAAAATAGCACTACATCATTCTCTCTTTGTGTTAGTGTCAATCAGTGTTTAAAGAATCGTTGATCCGATCCGAAATCGCGTGATTCGGATCAGTTATCGATGACATCATTCTGGATCCGCTAATAAAACATGATCCAGTCATTTTTGTCAAGAAATCATCTTGATGAGGTCATAAAGCGGACACATGGTTCGCCCTAATGACATCATAAAGTGGATCCGTCACCAGTTGGCCATGTACAATGAACATG